ATATATATATATAGTAAGTAGAGCCAACGGCTATGGCCTGAACTGACTGGTTGATTGGTTTTACGGGCAAGAAGCACTTAGGAAGAATAAAGTTAGCAATGGGTATTCACTCAGCCCTACTCTGTGCCAGGTATCATTATAAATTCTTGCCATGCAAACTCATTGCACCTCTGAAATGACACGATGAGGTAAGAGCGCTTATTTGTATATGAGTAAAAGGAGATCTGACAGCTTACGTAACTTGGCCAGGGTCTTAGCCACAGTAACTGCTAACTCAGATCTCTAGTGGTTAACCCAGGAGCTGTGTTGCTTCTACTAACTGCTGATGTGACTTCGCAATAAAATAATGGCGTGATTCACGATACCTCCGTCCGTCTTTGGGATGCTGGATGGCTGAACTAACCTTAGTAAAAGCATATGCCCTTTAAGTAAGCTGACTGTGTATTATACATTAGAGTCGTGCGGCAGATATTTGGCAATCAAATGGCTATATCCGTCATGTGTCATTTATATGAGGAATCCTTAAAAATAGCCTAGGCCAGGTATAAAAACACTTTTATGTTTTAAAATGTAGGTGACTCTGCTCTGCCACTAATTATTTCTGAGTCACTAGTTCTGTTAGCCCTCATCTCCCTTCTGCAGGTGAGCAGAAATGCTGAAGCATTTATCCCCCGTGAGGGGTACACGTCAGGTGAAAGTAGTGATTAGCCTGGAAGACAAAGTAGTGGAAAAGCAAACACGGTGAAGTGTCCGTAGGAAGCAGTCGGCTCCACCCTGCAAAGCGTCTGGAGTGCAGGAGTGGCCCCCTGTGGCCCGAAGTGGCCCCCTGTGGCCCTAAGTGCCCCCCTGTGGCCCTAAGTGGCCCCCTGTGGCTCTAAGTGCCCCCCGCACGCGCTCCTCGGGGGATTCTGTACACACCAGCCCAATCAGCACTGAATCATTTATTTAGCCTCACAGGCCTTGGTTCTTTTCCTTTTTTAAAGAGAACAATTTAAACCAGATTTTAAAATCTATGCTATTCATTCTATCCTTCGACGGGTCCCACATTATTGGAAAATTTTAAAATCATTACCAGATCCTTTTTCTCTCCTGACCTAGTCCCAAGCGTTTTCACATGAGGGTTTGGTACAGTCGAGCAGCTTGGGTTAAAGAAATGAGAGACCCATGAACGATTCTGACCTAAGTGCACGGCTGTCTGAGGCGGAAGGACTGCAAACAACGGCCTGACACCTCGGAAAGGCCCGTCCCTGCCACACTTTAAAGTTTATTGTGAGCAAACCTCTCTTATTAAATGTAAACAGCATCTCACTGGAGGTCAGAGACTTGCTGCTGCAGCACATCCCAAGGTAATATCACTTTAAGCTCCACATAAACTCTTAAGCAGTTTCTATCCTAAAACCTGACCGTAGGTGGTACAGTTTTTTACGATATGTTATAATAGTGCAATAAATCTGTTAGCTTAAAATCGAATCTCCGTGGCCTTTTAGAGAAATCATCATTAAATGCAGGGTCCTGTTAATGATGCCATCCAAGTGAAATTGTTTAATCTGCTCAGGGGGTGAAAGGTCACCAAATGAATTTTTTATAATACATCAACTTGACACGCAATAGGGAAAACTGTAATAGATAAAAGCAAAGGAAAAGGGCACTGTCTTCTTCTGATAGGTCAATAGCAGCCAAGAGAGTCACTCATCCACTTTTCTTTCACGATGGGGCTCCTTTTGCATTTAATATGGACACCCAATTAATACCTCAGCACCACAGACAACCTCATTTTAGGTGACTTATAGCAATTTCTCCCCCTTCCCTGAAATGAAAGTGATCACAATACATCATAGCATTGTGCGAATTAACGTTAATTGATTCAAGTTACCAAGCAATGATGGGCCGCTTATATAATCTAGGCGTTATTGGGTGCTAGAAGGGATGGAGGGAAGATTAGATTCCAGTGTCCGTTGCTGTGACGACGGGAGTCACCTGACACCTTGTTAGACAGTTGTAAGGTTCTATTGCTGGCCCCAGTGGGGTCGTCAGTAAACTGGAGTGATGTCCAAACATCATTACACGCTGCTCCAATATTAAAGCAAAAGGATTAGCAACTTATTGCAAGCAACCTGGATTTGTCATTGTGCTGTCGTTATCCAATTTCCAAGTGCTAATGTGACTATAGCCTGCAGGCAGAAGGACCTACAGCCAAACTTTAAAAAATGGGGGAGGAAAGTTCCCTCCATCTCCTCCAGTTTTAACCACTATTTAACAGCTTCCAGTAGCCAGGCAGGTAAGTGAAAGAATTCTTTCTCCCCTTCAATGTTTAAGTGTAGGCTAACAGAAAAATCAGAAGCATGCTGAAATTTCCCAGGCCTGGCATCATCCCTGTTGGTTCCTATTCTTGTTTGTAGACCCTCCCCATCTGTAGAAGATGGGATTGTTTTGACTTGCATGTCCAACACAGCAAACAGATAAACAAATAAACCCTCCCAGTGGGAACTGGCCCTCTGCAAGCCCACTACTTGAGATGGAAGTGGAGCTGAAGACTGCAGATGTTGACTCAAACCTTCCTCTTTCTCACAGCTGCGAGCCAGGTTCCAAAAAAGAGCCTCGTGTTTTGGTGAATACTCCAGGCTTTCCTGATTTAGGGGCCTCTCTTGTTTTATACTGGCTAGAGAGGGGAACCAGGTCTTTATGTGCCATGAGGGGACTTAGATTTTAAAGGAGTTCAAATAATTCTATATCCTGGGAGACAAAGTAACTTCTATAGTCAATTCCACCTAAAAAAAACCATGTTAACCCTCCTATTATACAAATGTTGTTCAAGGCATTATAAAACATACAGAGATATATACTATTGTACGACTCTGTCCCTCAGAAATATACTTCTCCACAGTTTGTGAGACAAGAATGACCTTGGCTATCTTTCTGAGGTGGTATACACCACCTTACTTACAATCTGTCACCCTTATGTTCCCATTAATCCAAGGCAGGCTCCCTAGGAGGGAGGACATGCTGCATGTCCTAGCGTTTTCTTTCTGCTACTGGGGCTCCGTGATTCCAAGCATGGAGCATTGCAAATGCCCCACAACACATAACTACAGTAAAGCTCTCCCAGCTCAGTATCTGTTGTGTACCTGCTCTGATCTTAGTGGACATACCCAGTTGCCTCCAAAAGCCACCACCCATCTTGTCCTAGCCAACTTCAAGATATGGTGCACTCCTTAGTTCACATTCTTCGCGTTCTACTCCAGTACCTCGGATAGGCTCATGATTCCCTGCAAGTAGTCATTTCAAAGTGAGGCCTTAGTAACCCTAGATGGATGCAAAGGATGCAAAGACCAATTAACATGATATAGCTTCTAAGAATGTCAATTAGAGGAACAAATGTTCAGAGAACAAAATCTGAAGTATTTGTGTTGGTAAATTATTTCTAATACATTATAATAAATATTTTGCACAGGACAATAGAAATTTTGAGTATAGTTTTAAAGATCTTACACAAATATGTAAAATTCTTTGGGTATGTTGGGGGCTACAGCAGGCTTAGTTGAGCAAGAAAAATAAACAGAAGCCACTCAAGGTCTTTCTAATGAAAGGGATGAAATACAAAATATTGGCTATGTGGGACAATTAGGCCTGCGTGTGGGGGCAGAGACACACTGGATTCAGATACCACATCAGCAGCAGTAGTTTAGGGTTAACATCCTGTTCATAAGGAAAACAGCGAAAGATAAACTACAGAGCACTAATCAAAGATGTACTGGTCTGAGACTGTTTAGTCTAAGAACAAGGGTCCCTAAGGGCTTTACCACAGAACTAGGTTATAAAATAAATGATAGTTTTAATGTTGCTCATGAATCATCAATAAAAATGTGAATGTTCTGTGTTATGTCTCTTTAAGGGAGGCTAGATAATATGTAATCTGTCTTTTTTTTTAAAGTTTCAGCTTCAGACATTTGAAAAATGCTAACAAAAATAATAATTAGTAATTGTGTAGAAAATTTGCATATGTAGAATGTGTCATCGCCCCACAAAGCCAGATATGCAAAATATTATGAAAATAATCTTTCCATTCTCCCAACTCAACAAAGTAGTGGATTTGTACAGTAGTGAAAAGAAGAAATGATCCAAAAAGCCTTTGCTGGAAAAGTTGTCCTGTTGTCACAGAAAGGGAAAATCAGACTAACACTCTGGAAACATCTCTTAGGGTGAGTATTCTGTCACACTTGAGAAGAATGTCATCTTGCATTGTCAGGAAGTCTGTGTCTTGCATAGTCCACACAGCTACTTCCTAGAAAGCAGGTGCCTCGCAGACATGGAATTTACAGGAAAGAAAGGTTCAGTAAAACTTAGTATAATTAGGCTTCTACTTATCATCTAGTGGCTCTTCTGGGTTTCTTCTCGATTGTGTGCTCTTATGTAGAGTACAGAGATTTAAAATGCTATGTATGTCATAAAGATACACACACACGGCACTCCTCTATTTTCATGCTCTCCCTCACAATGACAATTTCAGGCCCCAAGGTTCATGGTGATGCCATAAACAAAAGGCTTTATAGGACACAAAGGATTAATTTTTTGTTGCTATAAAATGGATTAACACCAAGTTAGTAACTCAGAATTGTACATGTGTCTTCTCCTGGGAGAGGGCCTGGAGGTCTAGACAAGCTCGGCTGCACCCAGTGCTTAGGAAGAGGCTGGCAGGAAGGATGCACACCCAGACCCACTGGAGGTGCTGCTGGGATTCCCGGTGGAAGACAGTGTAAGGAAATAAGACACTAGTGGGAACCTCCGGCTTATAAAGGAAAGTTGGAGCAGGTGATTGCCTGTCCTCTCTCTAAGAGCTCCACTGGGACTTTCTGCAGAAGAAAAGTGAGTAAAAACAATGTAAATCAAAAAAGAATAAAAAAAGACAGGTGAAGAGACAATGAATGACAACTGAGGTTAACAAAATTGTGAAAATTGGAAAGCAGCTTCAGGAGCCTGACAGATCTAAGTAGAGCAAGCTCACGTCCAGGTGCCTCTGGAGGATGACACAGTGCACAAGAGGGGGATTCACTACAGACTCTCGGCTTAAAGAGCACAGGGCAACTCTCCTCTCCTCATAAAGCCACAGTCTGCAGCCTCCCAAAAGTAAGCAAAGTAATATTCTCCTGGACATGTAAGTGTCCCCTCATTGAAATTCATACAACATCATGACATTGCAGTGACCCTCTTGAGAACATCCTTGGCACTCTTCCTAGCCTCGATTCTGCGGTCTCAAGGTCATTTCTCAAGGTCAATGACTCTGCAGTGAATTTAATGGAAACCCAGCCTTTGGCCCACAAATCCTGTACCATACAACTCTTAAGAAAATGAGCCGGCTTGCTAATTCTCATTCAGTTGCGCAGGCGGCGGTACGCTTGCTCTGGAGATACGCGTGCTCTTTTCAGACATGCTTAAAAAGTGGGTTTTCTTTATCTTTAGGAGATTTACTTTTTAGCTTCTATCTTCTGTCTAGAAAAAAACTCTCTTCAAACTCTAGAGAAATGGGCAGAGATGGCGAATGTAACATATCCCACCAGAAAATCAGTGCTGTAATATACATAGTCATAGTTTCCTATAAAATAAAAACAAACTGAGCTCAAAGCCAAACATAATGGCTATGATAGATTTTGAGAGATAAATAAACTTGATCTTTTCCTTGAAGCTGTATCACTCCTTCATGACAAAACGATATATCCCACTTATATGTGTATGTACATCTGATTTGTTCCTCATACACTTTGCAGACTTTTCTGGCTGTACCTCAATATTTCTACTTACTATTTTCTCCTTTTATTCAATGGATATATATCACATTGGAATAATGACCTATGAAGAAAGGTCAGTATTACAAATTTAATTAAAATTGAAGGGTAGGCTAAACTTTTTATCTGTATAAGAATTCAGGGAAAATTCAGTCAAATTAAGCCAAAGGAAAGACAAAATTAAAACAAACGAAAATTTATTAGGAAAAGTTTTTCAGATTCTTGATGCATTAGTTTATGTAATATAATAATATCATTAATAAGGTAAAATTGGTGGTTGGCAATAGTTGCAAAGATTTCATAGTTTATGAGCAGTCATGAACTCTAAATAACTATAGTGCCAGTTAACAGTGTACAAAGCCCATGGAATCTACCAGATCTACACAAAAGAAGAGCTTGAGTTCTCTTTTAGTCTACCATACATATTAACATATAGGGGTCAGCCAGATAGCTCAGCGGATTAAAGCACCTGTAATCAAGCAGGTGCAGAAGCAGCGGGGGTTCAATCACCAGGCCTCCTGTGCTGGCCCTGCCTCTGGGCATGCTGACATGGCAATTGAGACTGGGTGTGGTGGCGTGCACCTGTAACCCCAGCGCTTGGGAGGCTGTAAACAGGTGGATCACTACAAGTCCAATCTAGTAGTGAGACCCTGAAGGCCCTGTAGACCCTTCCCTACAATACAAAAAAAAAAGTGAAAAGGAAGACCTACATTCATTGTAAAAGAAGGAAGATGATACAAGAGCGCTAAACTTTCTCTTGGATAGGTTGTTCTGTAGGCACAAACCAATCAATATGTCAGCCGAATGCCCTCCCTAGTGTGAAGGATCTCCTTTTTATTTTAGTTCTAATGAATGTCACATCCCTTGGAGATGGTTGTATATATAGAATTAATAACTATTCTTTATGTGTTATATATTTATTATCACTACAACAAATAAAACGAATTTCCAATGAGAACAATATATTTTTTTACCTTAGTTAAACCAAACCCCAGACCACCATTCAAAGTCAAAATCAGTAAGTGAATGAACAGATAAACTAAAAGCAAATTCATTCAGAAAAAATCTCTTCTATATTCATTTTTGCTTTAAGGCCCAACATAACATGTCTTCCAACATTTGAATAATAAAGTGATCATGAAAACAGATTTAAAGAGTTGAAAAACTAAGAATTTAAGTCTTGGGATGTCTCTTTGAGATTTTTAGTCTATGAAATATAAAACAAATATTCATAATGTAAGGTTTCTGTGGTACAGAAGAGAGGCAGGAGAAGAACAAGGAGGTCTTTATCACTTGGGCACAGGAGGACTGCTTAAAGATGAGCAGGGAACCCTCTGGCCCAAGACAGAGAGAGCTCTGGCTTTTAGGGGCTTAGGCCAAGTGGAGATGAAGGGAGGGCTGCGTAGTTATTTGGGAAGGGGATTGGGGCTACTAAGGTGGGATACCAGGAGCTGATTGGGGAAATACTAGCTTGCATAACAGGAACAAGAAGCTCTTTTTTTTTTTTTTTTTTTTGAGGAAAGGGTGGTTCCCTTTGGAGGAGAGAAGAAGGGAGAAGTAGGCCATGGGCTAATGGTGACTAGGCAAGTACTTGTATGGGCAGAAAATCCATCACATAACAAACAATAAGAAAAGAACAATAATTACTCTACTATGCATTGTTACCTTCAAGGTAGTCACTCAGGGTACAAGACATAAACCAAATAGATTTCTTAGAAAAAAAGGAGCAAACAGATAATAACACAAAACTTTTCAATGAACTAAGAGAACCTAAGAGTATACATGAGATGAATTAGTATCGATAGACATTTTTTTGAGTTTTCATTCTTATCTTAGCAAGCAGGCAGGATATACGATTCCGTGTAAGGATGACAGTTGTACTACGTGTTAACAGGAGCTCAAGGTATCAACCCTCAGACTGGTGGTGCTGAAAGTCGTGCTTACCCGTAGCCAGTGACTGCCTCTGGCTGAGTCACAAGAAGGACACCAAAAGTCATATTCAGAACATTCTCCAGCACTCCAGTCTGTTGAGCAGTGATGACTTGACGAGCCAAAGTTTGTAACTTGCTACTTGATAAAGGTGGAGTTGGTCCAGGCCTCCTTGATGGCGGCAGGTCGCCAATTTCCATGACGATCACCCTGGAGATAGGTTCTACCGTGGTCACTGGGGAGACCCACTGGGGGCTTGTTTCCATCATGAGAGGCCTACGCTGCCCAACTCTTCTGTGAGTGGCACAAGTCACAGTTGGACATTTGCGTTTTCTCTTTGCGTTACTGTCAGCAATGGCCTTCAAGGTTTTTTCATTGCCAGGCATCTCATGAATAAATCTGACTTGGTTTTGGTCAATCTGTAGGAAGTTAGTTATTTTGTCAAGTATCACAGCTTCCCAGTCTTTTTGCAAGACTGGGAATGTCACCGTGAAGGCCAAATGAAGGGAAACACCTGTGCGGATTTCGATGGGCTCCTCTCCTTGTACGACAACATACAGGAGATTATCCATGACGCTGAAATAGTTGCCACCAACAGACTCTTCCAGCAACGATGACACTGAGTGCACTGACGTAGGTGGGATAAAATTTCCACCTAAGAAAACTCGGGGGCTTTGAATTTCATGATAGAATATAGCTAAGAGAAGCTTGGAAGTGCTTTTGTTCCCTGATAGAATAAAACGCAAAACTTGAGGAGTCTGATCAGCAAAGCACACCTTGGTAACTTGCCTGGTAGGTAAAATGGAATAAAAGGTATGCACAGATCCGGAAGTAGAGCAAAGAGTATTATTAGGCACACTGGTAAAGACGTCAACAAAACCACTAGTCATGGATACAACTGGGTATAACTTCTGTATTGCCCAAGTGATGTACACACTACCAAGAATTAGGAACACTTGGTCAGTCTGTTTGCAGATGAAGCCTTGTATCAGTGGATGGTAAGTGCATTTCTGTTCTTCTCTGAATGTACCTATAAAATAAAGGAAAATTAACAATTGACATACAAGCCACAATGCCCAAAGACGATTTGCAATTTAACACTCCTCATCATCTAGAACTGCATAGGCTATTTACTAAAATTAATGTAGAATATAGAGAGAACATTTATTGAACTTAATATCTAAGTATGCTTGATATTTTAAGTGTGCAAGGAAATCTTGGTGCAGATACATACACATTACATAATAGTTATTTAACATATTAATTTTATGTGTTCCATGATATAAACAATTTCAAGTAATTGAAAATGATAGTTAAGTCTAAAAAGAGTTGAATAAATGAAAGAATTGAGGTCGATGTGGTGGCTCTGGTCCCTAGCGCTGCCCCAAACCCTTGCGCACTCAGAAGCAGGTCTTCTGGAGGTGATTGGCTTGTGCAGCCACCATACACATTGCTGAATTAGACCTCGGAGTGACCACAGCTGAATGTTCTATTCAGAGGAAGAGCTTACTCAGAAAAGGCAGGGTGGGTCCTAGGCGCAGCCAGTGAGGGTCCATCTCCCTACCCTGTCACCTCTGTCTCTGCTTCCTGGTCACCATGATATGAGCTACATTTTGCAGCCAGGCCCTCCCTCCATTCCCTGCATGCCTCAGAGCCAACTGACTGGAATGAAATTATGAGTCCAGATAATCCACACTGCCTTATGCTCAGGTGCCAGCTTTTGGGCCAGAGCAATGAGTAAAGTGGATAAAACAGTAAAAATAAACACTAAAAGCCCTCAAGCAAAACCAAACTATTCTACTCTGTCCCACACAATCTAACAGAGAATATTGACTCCACAATGCACGGGGTATTTCTTCCCAACAGTAGCCAATTCTCCACCAGAAAACAATTGAACATCATACAATTGGATTCATTTTTTTAAAAAACAATTTTATGCATTTAGTACAAGGTCTACAGGGTCTCACAACATAGATCAGACTCCTAGTGATCCTCCTGTTTTCAGCCTCCCAAGCAAGGGGATTATAGGCATGCACCACCACGCCCAGTCTCATTCACCATCTCAGTGAGCCCCAGGGGTAGAGCCAACATGGTACACCAGGGATCAAACCCCAGTCCCTGTGTCTGCCTAAGTAGGCCCTTTAGCCCAGTGAGTTATCTGGCTAGCCCTTGATTCAATTTTGACACACAGACCCCACAGGTTAAGGCTAATCTCACAGAGTGTCCACACTTCAAGTGCCCTTCATTAGTTCCATGAGGGGCTCTGTGCTTCTGAAGAGGGAGCTAAAAGGATGCCTCTGAACTTCTCCTTAGTGCTGGGATTCACAGAACTCTGGGAAACACTTCAGTTGTGTTTACCCACCTATTATCAAAGGGATCACAAGAGATACAAATGCACACCTAGATGGAAGAGACATGTGGGTGCAGCACATGGGAGGACACACAGAGCTTCTGTGCCCTCTGCAGGAAGCCATCTGCCAGGCACCCAACACACCCAGCCGCCTGGCCACCCTCCAGAGCCTGCCTCGGATTTTCCAGTGTCTTCATGATGAAGGTAGGATCAGAGAAGCAGCTGGCCACTGGAGGTCAACTCAGCCTTCAGTCCTTCCCCACTACCTTGTTGCAAAGAGATGAGGCTGCAAGTCCTATCTGGAATCACATCATCAGTTTCCCTGGCAACCAGCCCCAACATGAGGCTGTTAGGAATCTAGCAAGTTACAGCCCTGCAATTCCCACACTGTGGAAGGCTGAGGCAGGATGATCACAAGTCAGAACACAGCCCTAGAAGCTTGGTGGTTTCATGAGACCCTGAGGCAAAGGTAAAAATTTAAAAAATGACCTGAGGACCTAGTTCTGTGCAAAGGCCCTGGGACCAATTCCTAATACCAAGGTGTGTGGAGTGTCACCTTTTGGAGCTCTTTGTCAGAAATTTCTGTCAATCAGGAAGTAATGTAGACCTTAAGAGTTCTGGGTTAGGATCCCTGAGTGTTAGAACAAAGAGTTTTCCTAACACATGTCTAAATAGTTTTAGGCTGTCCACCTCAGGAATCAATGACAGACCCCAATGCATGTACATGTCTCTTCTTACAGGGTAATGGCATGGGCTGGCAGGGGAAGAGGAAGGGGGATCAAATCGGTGGAAGCAGAGGTGGGTGGCAGGGATAGAACGGAGGGCCAGTGGAGGTTTGCTAATATTGAAAGTGTGTACTGTGATCAGAGGGTGAAGGTTTGGGCACTATACAATTTGATCTCACTCCCTCTTACATATAAAGAATAAAGAAATAAAGAACAGAGAAAGAAGAAAATAGTAATTTGGGGAATTGTTGACATTAAATAGAGCTTAAGTGAAGGATAAGCAGGCTCATGAATGTATTTCAGAAAGTGTTGTCTTTCATGGTTCCCATCATCCTTTGCTTCTTATCCATAAACATGGATTTCTCGTTTTAAATCCACAAGGACATTTCATCCTGCCGCAAAAATTTCCTTTTAATTTAAAACTGATATTCACAAAATTTTCTTTCATGTTTCCAGATTTTTTATTTTTTAAAGAGAGTACAAAGTAGTATTAAAACAAAATAATTACAAATGATACAAAATTTCACTAAACAAAATATGAATTTCACAGTGTTTTGTTGTATTGTATAATGTCTTCAGATTAGTTGTTCATATTACCAGATATATGCATGCAAAATTGGAAAAAGACAAAAGAAAGATATCAGGAAGTAAGAAGAGAAAAAGAAGAAAAATTAAAAAAAAAAAAAACAAAACCAATTAAGCATGAGCTACTCCTTTCCACAGACCAGCAGAAGTTCACAGTACAGTTGTCCAAACCATCCCACTTACATACATAGATCTGCCTCCTTCCCCACTCTCTCCTGTTCTTCTCCTCAACTCAGTAATTCCTTCCTTTTAAACAGGCTCATTCCCTTTTACTAATATCTATTGTACCCTTTCAATTTTATTTGCTCCTTCAGATTCTCACACTAAGGAGATAATATGATGTTTGCACATATGGGTTTATTTATTCCACTGAAGAGCATGGTCCCTAGTTCCATCCATATTTAATTTACTTCAGTTCAAGTTCTTCAAAGTAGCTGAAGGAATGGAACAGCAATAACAAAAATTTAACTATTTCTAATGGAGGATATATTACATTTAGACGTAAGGTAGGCTTTTCCTACATACTTCCTTCCAAATAGTATTATTATAAATGTCCACCAGAGTTATCTAAATCTAATTACCAAAATATTGCTTCAGAATTTGGTTTTACAACAATTATGGCAATAATGAGAAAAAATCACAGAAAAATTAGAAAACATTTCAACTGAACCATAAAATTTTAACATATCAATGTGAAATAGTGCCTCCGGAAATATTTATGATATAACATATTACCTTATGTTAAATGATATTAATATTAAATACCATTAAATGCTATTAAATTTACAGTATTATATAAGAATTATCTAAAAGCAATGTCTAAAGTAATCTTTAGGAATTTTAAAAATTGTCTAATGTACAAGAAGGTGATTATACTATGTGGTAAACCTGTGTTTGGCTAAGAGAGATCTTAAATGTTTTTACTGCATGCGCACGTGCACACACACGCACACACACGCACACATACACGAGTGCAAATCCCAAAGTGGCAATGCACATGGTAGCTAACATTGTGTACTCTAAAAATTATTATTATTTTTATATTCACATTGCATTAAAGAGAGAAGAATCTACTTTTCAAAAGTTAAAAAAAATCATAGAATAAAAGGGTAAATAATACAGCAATCCAACACATTAGCCAAGCAATGGCCATGACTCATCCACATGGCTGACACTGACAAAGGTTCTACAATCTGAGGTACAGGATCTCAGGATAAATCCTGAGGGGATTTCACTG